ATCTATAAAATAAGTCATCTGTCTTTATAGCTGAAGTAAATCTAAAGCAAAACACTTATAATTATTTTTATGTTCAGTCAACAAAACTGTCAAACATCCTAATAAACATAAAAAAAATTTCATAGTAATAAATGTATTATAGGACATATATGATATATAATTTCCTGTGTACTAGGTTTTATACAGGTAATTTTAGTTTTATATTTAATGTTCTTTCTGAGTAGCTGAAGATGGGTAAAAGTAGTTAAGAATATTTAAAATTATATCATGAAAACTAAAACTGTAATGCATTTTAATTTAGAAGATAATTATTTTTTCTTAGAAATGGAGTCAATGGAACATAAAAATGTTCAGTTAAATGCACTCCAGCTGCAGAAGAATGAATTAAAGCAGGATTTATTTGCTCTCCAGAGCAAACTCAAAGGTATTTGTGTGTCTGATAATCACCTGTGTGTTTGTTATGATATTACTTATGATTTGACAAATGCATTTGAAAAATCTTTTCTGTCAAGTTATTTTTATCAGGGAAGTAGAGCAAGCCATAGAAATAAGATTTGTATATATTTTTACATTATGTAGCAGATCATTTTAAAATATGGCTATAACAAATATTGAATTCTGATATTCATATTGAGTGTCACTGATACTGAGGTATATATAGATTTGTTGAATCGCAACCTGTAAATATGAAAAAGGAGTTACTACTTTTGCTGGTAAGATATGTATTTAAATGAGGAATTTAGTATTTAAAAGTGAACTTAAAACCAGCATAAATATTTTTTAAAAACTATTAACCTACAATTAAAGAATATCACTGAATTCAAATATTCAAGAAGCCACATGTTTGGAGCAGATAAAGACAGATTTGACTAAGGAGCTAGACCTCTGTAAATGTGTAAATGACACGTCATAGTAAGTGAGCTTGGAGAGAGATGTTCAGAAATTGTTTTGGAAAAAGTATGAAATTGTTAGAAACACTGCAATGTTTATACCAATTACAATACAAGTGTCTCTCATTCTGGTGCTTTTACCCTCCAAAGAGTTTTCACAGCAAAAAGTTTTAAAAGATAAATTCAGAAAATATAGGATGCCTTGGAATACATATGACTAAAACGTATTTCTAAGGTCATTGTTATTTTATCTTTAGATCTTGAAAAAGTAATCAAGGAGGCTAAAGGAATTACAAAAGATTTAGAAGCAGAAAAGGTCCAAGTCACTGAAAAACCTCAGACTGATCCTGAATGTTTAAGGTAACAGGGTCATTTCAGTAAGTTCTTAAGTCACGTTTTAGAACTATAATTATAGCTTAGTGGCAATACCTGTTTTACCTTTCCTGTACAATATAAGGGAACAGACTGGTAATGATTCATTAGGTGTTAGTTTGTTCAAATGTGACATTTACGTTTTCCCCATACACAAAAGTATGCAATCTTCTTCAGCAAGAAATCTTTCAATGCAAAAAACTGTACCCAAAAGTTACCATCTTTTTTCTATTTTATGGTATTCTCTCTGAAGGTGTCTGTGAATATTTAAAACTGTTTAACAGACAATGTAAATGAACTCCTTCTAGAAGACCTGGCCCGAAATACTCTCTAAAATAAACTTTCAGGGAAAACACAACTTTTTTTAACATCACATTTTTTCCCATACATTTCTGAGTTCTTGACTAAAATAAATAAATATAAGGTTTTTTTTCTGAACTCTTTAAATAAAAAAATAGAATTTTGCAGGGAACTCAGAGTATTTTTCTGAAAGATGATTTGTTAAAGGCCCATTTTTAGCTGAATACTCATTTTTGAAAGAAAATGCCCTATTAATAACTCTCTTCAACTCCTTATATGGTGTTGAGACATGGCCAAAACTCCCTCAACATAAAAATTAATTAGCTTACAATTCTGCATACAATAGCAAAAACTTTGCATTCAATATATACATAGAGGACACTGTAAATATTAATAGCAGCTGTAGTTCTGCAGTACAGCCTGTTATAATTCACTTTTACGTTATTCATTCCATCGTGATATATTAGATTTTCTGAAGCATGAAGTTGTCATCTTCCTTCTAAATAACACACTTTCCTTGGAGTAGCTTACTGCCATAATACCACTTAATATTCAAATTGGCGTAATTAGTTTTCTATAACTAGTTTCCTGCGTATAAGATACAGAATTAGCAAACATTAGATTACTTTAGATCCCCTGCTCTGCTACTGATTCACAACAAGACCATAGGGGAATCATTAATTCCATGTATGTATGTCTCTCTAACTAGGGAAATTAACTCACAGATCTGTGGAACTATACTTTGTGTCTGGGTAGAAGACACGGCAGTGGATAAAATATATTAAATTATCTTAACCACAAAACCAGCAAGCTTCATTCATAGGCAAAGCAAGTATGATAAGATTTCTTAATTCATAAAATACATCATTTTATGGTCAGGGTAAGCTTATATTATTAATAGTTGCATATAGTGCCCGTGGATAAAAAGCGCTACTACTGCTATTACTACAATCACAAACAGCAAGTGCTCATTAATATGCAGTAATACATTGAATTAAGTTTATTTATATTAATATGTTTTTTCATTTCACATACTGGAAAAAAATTAGGATAGTTGCCTAAATCATATTTTTATCTTGCACTTGCTTTTGATCTCTTGTATACATGCAAAAGCACAATGATTTATAGATATAAATAGCTCTCAACAAGCTAGCGTAGATGCTAGAAGCAATTTAGCTATGTTATTGCACTTTTGTGTCAGCACAATTCTGCTTTTCAATACAGTTTAGCAAGCTGGGGGAGCTCCACATTAGCATAGGTACCACACTTCCAGTATCATCCTCATTTGCCTGCCTCTGTATATCATTGCAGTATACACCTCTTTTATTTTATTTTTTTACAAAACCTGCTCATCACTTCTTGGTTTCGGCATCTGAATTAAGAGAAAGACAACTACTGAATTAAGAGTATTAAGGGAATTTAAAGTATTATTTGCTGTTAATAGCACATTTGGGGTCAGAAGAGAGTGAAAAAAAACCTAATTAAGTAACTACAAGTTGCACCTTAGGTTATGTTATCTTGAACTCTGCTGACTTGATCATCTAACAAATGATACAAAGGAAGAAAGGAGCAAAAATTAAATCATAACATTACTCAGTCATTAATTATTAAACTATCTTTGATTGCTTTGCTTTCTGTTCTAAAGCTGCATATCCAACAAAGAATATGACTTCTTGACCTTCAAAATGACAAGCTATTTTACATCAAACAGCTTTTAACATTAAATGAGGGAGATGTAACATCAATACAGTTCATTCAAAACTGACTCAGCAGG